GTGTGTGTGTGTGTGTGTGTGTATATATATATATATATACATACATATATATATATATATATATATATATATTGTTGCTGATGAGAATTGTCAATCGTATGAACGATGTAGAATCTGCGCACCCAGAAATCGACAGACGTTGGTTTATCACACCCAGACACTCGTACGCACACTTGTATCTGTCGCCAAACGCACTAGAAGCTTAGACCTACTGCATTCATTCTCGTGGCTAGCTCAGATAGGTGTCCTTTTCACGCTTTACGAGTTGTAATATTTTATTTATAAGTTGCTTGAATCTGAAAGGGGAGGGCTACACATTCATGACTATACAGACCTTGCACTTGCCAGAACCAATGCACCATTGCTAGGGCTTCGTTATACTATCGCACTGGTCACCAAAATTATGGGGCCCATAAGTTCTGAACCATTTTGAACTGCTTCGTGTGCATTGGAAGTGAAGGAGCCGGCACACACACACGTCGGAAACGTATATAAATCGTATGTAGTGCTTGCTATATGAGGGAGCACATCCGCTCATAGGAATAATCTTATTTATTTCAAGATGGCAGTAGCATCGAGAAAAAAAACGAAATAGCCATCACATACAGACGAGAGTTGCAGCTGAGTATGGTGTGTGTATGACGGTATATGCGAACGTACATATGCGATTGTACATATCTGTACATAAGCATATATGAGATAGATAGACACATATCACCGGTTACTAAAAAGACATGTGCGTCGATACTCTTGTGCGTTTACGCATACCTACAGGAATTAGGCGATACCGCCACAGCCCTGAAATACACACAGAAAGCAGTCACACACATGAGCGATTCAGCAACTGTACTCGAACGGCGCGCAAAACGATCCCCAGCAATGTCACAGAAGAAGGTCCTAGAGGTAAGTATCTGTTAACCGAGCGGTCCATGGAGCATGGTGTATTGATATATATACATATATATATATATATATATATTACTATATATATATATATATATATATATATATATATATATATATAATGCGAGTGTGCATGTTGCTCATCTTCCTACACAATTGTAAGTTTTACCAGGTCGCAGCTGATTTTTTTATTGTTTATTGTTAAGTCTGGACACTTTCTTGTCATGATGTGCAGATTGGGTGTCTGTTTATGGCCCAATACCATAAATCCGTGGCACATTCTTTAGTTTTGTTTGCCAATGCGGCGCAACAACTGGGTCTTCCAGTAGGTTTGAACCCCTCGAGAGAAGTCGATCAGCATACGCAAACGTACTCACATATCACTTGATTTAATGGCAAAGCCTACGGAGAGCAGGAGTCTCAGTGATATGCGTGTGCACCCCTAACCCATTGTGCTAGCCAAAGCCGGCTGATACACCCGAGAAAATTAGAATATGTGAGCGCTACACTAGCTCATACAAACCTATGTGGAGGGTAGGCTGCATCTATTGCACTGTTAATAGTAATCATTTTGTTGCTATTGCTGGGTATAGGTGTCTTATTTAACATACCTTTCTACTCATGCAGGTTTGCGTCCTGCTCCGCACATTCCTGCTGGCCTCCGGAACAGACGTGGAGGAGATGACCGCCGAATTAGCTGCATGCGAAGCGGCCGCACACAGATACGAAGAAGCTGCTCGCGATGTGAAACGAGCCAATCTCATGCTGTGGAGGGACAAGGCTCTAACATGGAAGAAAGATGCTGCACTGGTAAGCAAGGGGGGCGTATACACGAATCGTGTACTATACTGGTTTTGCTCGAGATATCTATGCGAAGAAATGGGAGTATGTGTGTTATGAGAATAGGGCACCTGGATGTACAAACAAGACTGTAACGGGGTGGCAGGTTGCAGCACTTGTGGGAATGAGATGTACACGAATAGTATGTATGTTGCATTCGAGATGTATGTATTTATGTATGTATGTATGTATGTTTGTTTGTATGTGTGTATGTATGTGTGTCGAAACTGTTCCTTAACGCATCATAACGGGTCTGCGCGCGTCCAATGCGAATGCGTGGTTATAATATCTGCCAACTCGCTTCCTCTTAATGTAACCACGACAGGGCACACCGCAATTTGATCTCAAGATCGATGCAGACTTTGAATTCGACCTGTAGACCGCCATTGGTTGCTGCAATAGTACAAAGGTTGATGCTCCGCCTGTTGTTGAACAACTTGCGATAGATGATGGCATGGAATGCTCTGTCGGTGGCACACCAGATGCGTAGGTATAGGTGCCATGTTTACGGTGTCTATGAATGATACAGGTAATAAAATAGAACCGAAGTTCTATGACATCCGGCCTCGCAGGGCTGATCGCTTCTGCCCAGCATGCTGATGGATTCGGATGTGTTCATGTCTCCCATTTCAACTGAGAAACATACATACCAACCCAAATACTCATGCCGTTACGCGAAGCGATTTTGCTTACGCCAAAAGGTTTTGGAAATTGGGTGCCGAGATTTTGGCATGCACTACATTTTCCAGGTCAGAGAACACACGACGACACAGATGAGATTTTACACAGATGAAAGTATACATTTGTAGACGCTGATATATCCCTGCTTCCTTCCTATGTGTAATAAATCATCAGCTACGGTTGTGGTTGTGTAGAAACGTTTCCATGTGAAAGCAGAATACGGGACTACGACGATGATGTAGACTCGAATACATTTGCGATGCTACAGCGAGACGTTTGCTACATCAGACGACGTAGATCGTGCCATTCAGACCTTCAAACAATGTAGATTTACAACTCAGACTTAGCATTCAAGTGCGTTAATCATAAATCAATAGCATTTTCACACAGACTCACAGTGTGCTTCTGGAAGAGATTCTTAAATATTGATTATTTTATATCTGGCTTTGTAGTCGGACTATATATTATATTCACAGAGCGGTAGGAGTGAATTTTAGAATATTGTCTATTTATACCTGGGTCGTTTTCATCTCAATTGCCCGTGGTGTATAGGTGTCGACGTATATCTTGCCAACGTATTAATGTTGAATGTACTTGTTTACTGTTGATTCGGTAGAAGGTGTAGCAGGTGTAGACTGTAGCGCGTATATATTACGTGGATATTATTCGGTGAAAATTCATAAATGGTTAGCTGTGAGGAGATTACTTAAGACTGCCTACGTTATGACTGCCTTAAAAATTGCCTGCATTACGACTGCCTACTATGCCCTCAGGAAAATGCACATTTACAAATAAAGACTTTGAGGCTATGCCGATAAAAACACGTGCAGCGTCAATGGCTTTTTTTTTACCACAAAAAGAGTGAGCATAGGAAATGTGGAATATTATCCAAACAATTTGGCAATTCCTGAGGATTTTTTTTGCAATGGGAGCCTGGGAGTGGATAGACAAGTGGATTAATATAAGGGCATTGTAGCAAATTCCTTGGAACCTTTGCTATGAGGGTATACAGAAAAATAGAATATTATCGAAATATTGTGGCATGTCCCCCTTGCTGAGATGGATAGGAAAGTGAAATATTTTCAAACCTCAGCTGCTCAGCAAGAGTGGTCTCTTCGGTTAAAAGTTGGTCCTAAAATCAAAAATAAATTAAATTAAATACAAAATATTGTGAACAAACCAACCTCGATTCTTATAATAGATTCACACATCTACAAGTACAGCACATTCTCACATACGAAGATGACGGAAAGCAGCAACAAGGCACATGCATCATGCATAGTGATCCCTGATGCAGAGAACACATATCCTTTGGATCAGTTCGCTGTACCCCAGCACTACAAGGATGATCTCAACAGTGTGATGATTCCCAACGGGTTGATTCTGAACCGATTAGAAAAGCTTGCACAGGACATAGTTGAGGACATACACGCACCTTTGGTGGTGTTATGTGTGCTTAAAGGAGGCCATCAGGTGTTCTCTGACCTGGTGAACTTTATCAAGCAATTGAACACGCGTGCCGGACGATCTCTGCCACTGTCACTGGAGTTCATTCGCATGAAGAGTTATCACAACGATCAATCGTCTGGAAAGGTCGAGATTATCGGGATGAACATGTCTAATCTCAAAGGAAAGGTAGGTTGCAAGGCATATATTGCATGTCTTGTTTTAAAAGATTTTTTAACTACAAGTGAGGGTATACTTCACTGTTGACTTTCAGTGATTGGACCACTCATATAAACTCGGCGTTTGGCAACGAACATCTATGGTCGCCGATTTACCTTCCCACTGTTGTTCTGCATATATATATATATACATATTATATATATATATACATGTATTTATGTATTTATGTATTTATGTATTTATGTTATTTTTATATTCATAATATATATAATTATATATATATACATTGAAGATCGATACACGCATATATATATATACACACATATATATATGTATACTATATTATATATATATATATACATGTATACATACACACACATATATATATATATATATATATGTGTGTGTGCGTCTGTACGTATATATACTAATTTGATAAATATGTGTATTTATATAATATATATTTATTTTATATATATGTATATATATATATATATGTAAGTGTATGTGAAACGTAACGCGTTGATAAATAATAGTTCACATCTCATATCCGAGTCGGTTATTTTTCATATACCAAGTGATGTACTTATCGCTGTTGAAATATGATCTGGAGCATCATGGTGATCATCTATTAGCTTTTCCGCCGCTGTAGAAGTCTAGTCTCTGTAGACGTGTTATGCACATGAATCCGACAAACCTGAAACCTACATAACTGACGTGCGAATCAAGAGTGTGTACTGTGTATAAAAGCGTTTGTTCTACAGAACGTTTGGTCACTCGTGCATATTCTGCTATTTATAGTACGATGTATCTCGTGCTCTTGTCAGATTATAGTTCAGTATTGTGTGAACGGTCATCCCGTTTCCTTCATTCTAACCGGATTGATTTGCACTGCTCACATTCTTGTCTGATGAAAAGCCCCCGGTTTTCATATATATTTCTATCAATGCATAGTTTCAAAATACTTGTACACACACACAAAAGCAAATAGCCGTACAATATACTCATCCTCGACTAACCTTCAAACTCACCACTAAACAGCACGTACTCGTCGTAGAAGACATTGTCGATACCGGTCGCTCATTGGTCAAACTGTGCAACACATTGAACGAACAAGGGCCAGAGACTCTACGCACCTTCAGTCTGCTCCTAAAGCGCACACCGCACAGCAACGGCTTCCAGCCCGATTATGTTGGGTTCGAGATTCCCGACGAGTTTGTGGTCGGATACTGTCTTGATTATAACGAGTACTTCCGCGATTTGGATGTAAGTTTGTTTTGGGGTTGGTTGTGTCTATGTAGCGTGATTGTTGGTTCATGTCGGTGACGGTTGTGACTCGAGACGCGATTCCACCTGTCAATAGGGGGCTTGGTCGATATCTGGGTTGGCAGTAGTTGTCAAGCTACGAAAAGTAACTTTATGAATGAGTTGGTATTTCAATTTTGACCCAAACGTTTTGGATGTCGACGTTCATGACACCAAGTGCCTTTCGAGTGATGTGATGGCACACATTGTGGCTCTATCTACAATATTGATACAGAACGACTGCCTATAACAAATTTGGTCATGTATGTTATATTCTACGGCAATGAGTGCATTCCGCAAAGTTTGGCACTGACCACCCACACGATTTTAATATCACAGCACATCTGTATCATCTCGCCGGTCGGAAGAGAAAAGTACAAAGAGGCGGCTTGAACAAGTGTTGAGTCAATGAAGGCGTATGCGGGCAATGTGTGCGTTCCGTACCGTAAACCAATGTGGTGTTCGCCCGCGTGAGGAGATGTCTCAATACGAACAATGTGGTTATATGGACAACGATAGCATAAATTGTGAGCGCAACAAGCACTCATCCGCTGCAGTACGGTCCATTCATGTCTGGGATCAGGAAGGGCTTCGCATCTGCTGAACTCGTTGCCAGGTTTAAGCGGGCGGTTTGCATATTCCGCAACGATGCCACCAAAAATTGACACCCACTAACATCCATTTGTAGCGTTAATGATAAGTGTAAATATAAAAAGGTAGAGAATATGACCACTGTAGATTTTATTTACGAATACTATACTAATAATTGGACACCGCATTTAACTTTTCCATACTGTGTCACCATGTAGTGGTGCATTGGATATCTTTCCAGATTCACATGCTTGCTTGTGATGGTGTATTGAGACAGGCTCGATACTCTGGCACAGCCATCCTTGTGAAATGTGCGCAGGAATGCTTTCACGGAACAGTTGTGGCGTTGATGACTAATTTTACTTTGATCGCTTCCTGCATTTGTTCTCATACCATCACCCACTGGGTAAGGCCGACATTCTAAGTTCGTACCAATTGGAAACGCTGAACGCTGGTATATATATACAACTACTAGGGTTTAGTAGATGTGGCCGGGAAGAAATTCAATACGGTGCTAATGCTCGATCAAACTCCTAAATTTAAGTCTATGGACAACGTATATTATATATATATATAGTATGGCGCTTATATAAAGTACAGATAAGTCCTACCTAGTTGTGACTATGGCTCGACTCGTCACTGACTGCGAGAGTTTGAATGAGGTCACAAAGCCCACTATGCACAGCACCCCACACATCAGGAACATGAAATGGTAGTCAAACGGAAATGCAAACCCTCCCGAGGACATGTAGGCGAATACACTACCTCCGAGTATCGGTGCCAATGACTGAGACAGGGCGATCACTGAACTAAACACCCCACTCAGGGCACCCACGTGTTGTGTGGTGGAGTTCTGCAACATGATAGTGAGCGAGGCAAAGCACGAAGGCATGGCCACGGCGCGACCCACAAACACACTCAGCAAGAGCGTCCAGAACCACGCGTCACTAACCACGTGCGTGCGTATGCCATGGAAGAACGGGACGACGGCCATCACCACGGCCGACAGCAGCACGCCGAGCTGGTACATCTGAATGACGCCCAAATGGCGGCATATGGTCGGAAAGAAGATACTGGTATAGATCAATAGTCCGATACCCATGGTGGTGACACACAGGGAGATCTGGTCCGTGGTGAACGCTAGGCCGCCGATGGACATGGGCATCATAGACCACAGCGGGAAGAGCTCGTTGGATGCGGTCTGGACGAACCCAAAGAGGAAGGCTATAAATAGAATCAAAAGAATCTGCGGCCGGAATATAGCCTGGGTGAGAGTCATGGAAGGTTCTGCAATTGAGGGCCGTTGAGCCGTGCTGCTGTTGGTGTGGGTGTCTGCCTCTGTCTGGAGGATGGTGTCCACGTGCGTGTGTTCGATTTCGTAGTCGTGTATACCCTCGGCCGCCATCAAGCTTAGGGAATCGCGCCTGGAGAATGGGGAGAGATTGCACAGAATGAATGACTTGGAATGCGGTTACCAGTGGGGCGATAACAATACACACCAAACGCGATGTGAACGCTAGCACGTGGTACAAATGCTCTTAAAGAGGTGCTCACGATCAAAGATGTCAATTTTGCCACAGATTAGACATGTCAGTATGGTGCGAGTGGTTGGTTACCTGTCTCGCTTTTCCAGTAGATCTTCAGCAGTGAAGTGCCTGTCCGTGTCTGTGGGGTGGTTTCCGATGAGCGGCTGACTCTCAGTGCCCGTAGATGTCTCTCGAGTGCTTCTGCCACAGAAAATGGAGCGCAGATATGTACGCACGGGATGGTCAGGTAGATCGGTCACCGTCTCTTCCAGGTAGAAGTAGCTGTACACCCACAGACAGGCCGAGAAACACGCCGCCACCCTAGATACCAGAGACAAGTGAGATGAAGCGCGTTTTGAGATATAGTACAACTGTGTCCCTCTGACACCCTCTCAGGCCTTTGTGATTGTACACATGCGAGTTCACGTTTGGCTATCTACGACTGGAATATGCGCGACAGGTTGTGTACACCCATACTAAAATAAAAAGGATTTGGAATAAAAAATGGCGATGATAATATCTCAACGTCCCCCATCATCGTTTACTGCATCGGGTGACTCTTTTCTGTATGCGGTCCACATATACTGTACGTAGGTTCCTATCGCGAGCGTATAGATTCTTCGGATAGTACTAAACACAAGCAGCGCACCCTATTCAGCAGATGAACTAGGAGTGACTGACAAAACCCAGTACGCAGGTAATCGCAACACTTACAAACAAGGCAACAGGTAGGCAAACTCTCCGAACAGACCATCCGCTGAGAACATATTGGGGTACTTCAGCGCTATCTGATGGGATGAGAGAAGAGGTTGTGTGTGGATTGAGTGGTCGGAACATAAAGGCCACGCCTTTAGTTGTGGATGTGTCCTATACCACAGGAACGTACCCACGAGCTCGGTAACCGTAAGCGAATCAGGTGCAGTTCTGCGAGAGATATGTGATATTTTACAAAAAAAAATGAAAAACAAGGAGCTGGCATTGGTCTTGTTTGTTCTACAACCTATGTACAGATCAGAATGTATGATACACGAACATCCGGCAAAGTAAACTAGCTAATAGTCTGCCGCGTGTAATGCTAACTGCGCACTTTCTGATTTCATCCAAGTACCTTCCAAAAGACACGTTGGGCATGTATATTTCCGTGATGAATAAACGCCGGCTTCGAATCGGATTATATCACGTACTGTGTCAAATACTGTGCACAATCGGGATATATGGAATCCTATGCAAGCTTTTCTCCTGCCAATTAGCCAGGCATGAAGCCCAACATATAGGTGCTGTAGAGAGCGAGTCGTAAGTGTATGCACCAGAATTTGCGTGTGGTGTAAAGAATAGCAACCAGCGCACACAGCAAACAATAGACTCACCTGCGCCAAGCTTCCACCGAGATATGGACCGAGGCATTGGCCAACTCCCCACGCAACCCCAATGAACGAGAAGGCGTAGTCCTGATTGGTCTCATCCGTCACCTCCCGGATATACGCCTATTCTGTAGTCAAATACACACACACGCTCAGACACCTGAAGTATATTTAGGTGTGAAGCTATCATTCTACCGCACGTGTCTACGTCGTCCCTCTGCAAATAGAGTATATGCGGAGGACACCGTCCACAAAGAATTCTCAGAGGTTGTAGCTATTGGTGGAGGTGCGGGATATGAAGGTAGATTGAAGCCTACTCAGGGAGTAATCCCTGAGCAAATTGGAGTATATATTACGGTAAAAGTTATTCCATGCGTATGAGTAGTTTGAACTGTGCAGATTTAACCCACATCGCAGTCAACGTTGCGCTTCAGATAATCAATGAAGTACAGCAGCACGTATCCCACATCTATGAACTCTTCCTTGAGCTCGGGTACATTAACTAGCATTCATTCTATAAAAAAGTATACAAAATACACATACCTCACTACTGGCTTTTATGCTACTCTATATATATATATATATATATATATATATATAT